GGAATAAATCCCAAATTAAAAATACAGAATTTTAGTACAGACTTTTAATTTGTGTGCAGAAATTCCAAACTACATTTCACCTCATTTCCAGGTGTTTTTCTCCTGCTAACCTTTTTCTCTCTCCCAAGATGGAGATGCCAGCAAGAAATGCTATTCAGCAAATGACCCATGGAATTACACCACGATCACCACTTCCCCAGCACTGCCCCCACACACTTTTCGTTTCAGTAGGCAGCCCATTTCCTCCAGTGACACATTATTTCAGGAAATCTTTCAGCACACTATGTAACATAAGCTTTGAAATGTAGGTATATACAAGATCAGGTGTTGAACACCTTTTCACGTGCCATTTAAAGATCCTCTTTTGTGAAGTACCGTCATGTTTTTTTCTCATTAACAGGAATAAGAGGATATGCCTTTTTAATCTTGCTAGAGTTATTTTAATGGAGTTTTGGGAGGGAATAGGGCTAACTGTATGTGAGTAACCTGCCACCTTTAAGTAGAATTGGGTAACTTTAAAGCTTCATCCAGATAATTTTTTCTCATTTCTGTCCTCTCCAATGATTCAACCTCATTTTTTTTAAGATTTGTTTATTTATTTGAGAGAGAGTGTGGGCATGAGCAGGAGGGGCAGAGGGAGAGGAAGAGAGAATCCAGAGCAGACTCCTTGCTCAGCACAGAGCCTGACTCAGGGCTCAGTCTCACGACCCTGAGATCAAGACCTGAGCTGAAATCAAGAGTCGGATGGTTAAGTGAGAGAGCTACCCATGCACCCTTCAGTCCCAACTCGGGGCTTGATCCCAGGACCCTGGGACCATGACCTGAACCAAAGGCAGACGCGTAACGACCGAGCCAGCCAGGCGCCTCAGTGTCCTCCTCTCTTTGAATTCTAGCATATTTCAGAGCTGCTGTTGTCCTTCGGTCTTCAGTCATTTGAGTGGTGGGTAAACAGGCCCAGAAGGTGAAGGAACTTTCTATGGTTGTAAAGCACGTGGCAGAGAGGAGCTCCTCAGACCCTGCAGTGCCACACTCCATCGCTCTGGAGCATGTGTGTCTCATCTTTCTTGGAGCTCAGGAGTGCCCCCCGGGGCACAGGCTCTTGTTAGTAGGGACTCAGCCTCTAGCTGCAGCAAGCTCCCCAACACTGGACAGTGGTGAACAACACAGGCCCTGACTCTCTCTGTGGGGTGGACACAGTTGGTGGTGGTCGGGTGGCTGAATGGCTGGAGGGTCCCTTCAGCCGGAAGGACCAGGGTCAGGCCCCGTGGCACAATGGCCTGGCGGGTCTGTGTGGGGGATGTCACAGGTCTGTGCCAGTAGAGGTCCCAGGCCAGCAGGCCACAGTGGTCTGTGTTTGTTTCAGTGTTGGGTGGATGTCCCTCTTGCTGGGGAGAGAAGTCTGAGCAGGACACGTTTGCTTTCTGGTTCCCTCTCTCCAGTGAGAGACCTCGTCCCAGAGGAGAGGCCGCCGTGCTGCATCTGTACCCCAGGTGGTCGTAGGACGTGTGTGAAAGCTCTCAAGGAGGGAACTCGGTGTTGTGTTCAGCAGGTCTGAACTGTGGGTTGGCTGGCCCTTCAGAGAGCCCTCCTGAGGTCACACGGCGAGCCTGCTGTCTGCCGACTCTCCAGGCACTTGGATTCCATGTAATTAGGACGCTCCATGCCATGCAAGCTCTTTTCTTGTCTTGCCCAGCCTTGGTTACTTGATGTGGCATCGTGGAGAAGTCTGGGTCTTTTAAGTATAACTCAGTGAACAAATGCAGAGGTTTCTGTGGACGCTGAGCTTCAGGAGCCAGGGACGATGTCAGTGTTGGCACCTTGGTGCCTGCCGTCCCACATGGCCTGTGGGGCCTCGAAGCCATGGCCAGGATTCAGAGACTCCCACACTTCTCAGTATCATAAGAGATAATAGCAGTGATTTGTTCTCCCGTGTTTACAAATGAGGTTATGCCGTAACCGTGTGTGCGCATAGCGTGGCGGGGGTGTGTGTGGAAGACAGGCCCTAGCTGGACCTCTGCACACAAGGGAGGTGCACGGAGCATTCCCAAGTCTAGTTGTAGCCAAGTCCTCGTCACGTACCTGTGGTTTGACCTTGCACGAGGTTCTCCTCCTTTCCTGGCTTTGTGGGCTTATCTGGTCAGTGAGAAGGGCGCACGTGGTGTTCTGTCAGGATTGCCTCACATCCATCATGCCTGACTTCCCAAACGTTGTTAGCAAATGCAAAAGCCATAGATGTGAACAGCGTACCTTCACTACTTACAGCCGTGTAAAACCATACGTACAGATACGTACGCAGAGCTAGATAATTATGTAGAACTTGATGAATTTGTGGGCCATGCAAGAAGGGAAAGGTCTGCCTGTAGGATTACTTCCTTTATGATGAAGATTTCGAGAGGGGAGTGTTAGTGTAGGAACATGAGAGGACTGTGTATTGGTGGGGCTGTCACAGCAGAAGTGGTGTTCTTGTGAAGGATCCTGGGGTGGCAGTCGCATCGAGCCGTGGACCCTGGTTCGGGTGGGGTGGGCCTCCATCCTGCCAGTCCCAGGTGGTGGGAGTCCCCGGTGTATTCAGCACCCCGAGCTGTCCTCCTGTCTGTGGTCCAAGTGTGCTGACACGCGCTAGCCCCACCCATCCGCTAACCTGTCCCTCTCCTCCAGAAGCAGAGTGGCCGTGGCCGTGGGGCAGACCAGCCCGGGAGCCAGATGAGCAGAGAGGTCTGTGTGCACTCCTGGCCTTGCTCCTACTACTTAGAACCAGAGAAGCGATGGGTTCCTGGAAAGCATTCGTTAACTTCTCACTCCCTGAGATTTACAACTGATAAAACCAGGGAGGCCCTGGTCAGCTTCCCCCTGTCTAGTGTGATTGAGATCAGGAAGGAGGCTTCTCACTTTGTCTTCAGTTCTATCACCGTCCTGGAGAAGGACCACCTCAAGCACTGGTTCAGCTCCTTGCAGCCCAGTCGGAATGCAGTCTTCAGCATCATCGAGCATTTCTGGAGAGAGCTGCTGCTGTCTCCATCTGAAGCACCGCTCCCTGTGACCAAGGGGAAGCAGCTGACTGGTCTGATGGCCTGTTCCCAGAAGCGCCTGGAAGAGACAGCCCGAGTCCTCCACCATCAGGGCGAGCAGCTGGACAGCATCACCAAGGGGCTGGACAAGATGGAATCTGACCTGGACGTGGCTGACAGGTACAGGGGGCATTTCGGACACACGGGTCACGCCCCTGCCATGCAGAGTGACGCCGGGTGGGTGTTGGTGAGGGACACATTCTGTGCCTGGTGCAGAGCTCCAGTCTTGTGTGAATAAGGAAGGCTACCTCGTTTCATCCTGTGGGGGAAACAGGCCGAGGGGCCAGGTCACACACATGAAGTTGCTGTTCTGCACGGCCATGTGGCCGCAGGGTTTGAGCTGAAGCTCAAACCAGGGTCCCCAAACCAGGGACCCCCTCCAGTCTTCTAAACAATGGGGGCCCCAAGGAGCTTTTGTTTATGTGGCTGTGTGTGCCGACATTGCCGCATTTC